TTGACACAAAGATGCATTACATCTACAAACAGAGCATACAATGCGAGCACATGATACACTTTTGGTGTTTGTTTCATTTCTTCGGTAATGTTACAGAATGTTTCGGAAAATGAAGATTCCAGTACCACTTTAAATGTTTCGTTTACAATCGTTTCCCAATGACCCGGAATAGTACTGCCAGAATGAACGATATCCAAAATGTCTTCTAGTTTACAAACTTCAGCCATTCTGTTTACACGGGGGTCACTACTCATTCTGTTTTCAATCGTCATCAACAACACACTTATTAAACAGGTATTGACTGCATTCTGATAAATATATACAGATTGTTTTCCATAGTAGTTACCCATTTTCTATATTTTACTTTAAAGAAAAGTCAAAGTATCGAAAAAAAAAAAAAAAATCCTGGCTTCAATCAACCGCTGGTTATTAGTCTTCTTCTTCTCCATCCAGCTCGGCATGGATCTTTTCAAGTCTCTCCTTGAGGCGTCTGCAGTTTTTGAAATTGTACAGAAAAGCCTCCGAAGCGCCTTGGATCCTCCATTCAGCCGTGTAAATGTTTTTTATCATTAAGACTCTGGTCAATCACTGTAATGAAGTCGGCGAGCCAAAGTCTTTTCATTAACGCGTTGTAATTGTTTCTGAAGAAATATTCTGGAATGTCATTCAGACAATCGTGTTGCCTGTCAAAAGTCAGAGCGCGATGTCGCATCTTAAAGACAGCTTGAACTGGATAGATGGTTAGTCTTTTTTCAAACATACCATACGTTCTGCATGTTAGTATATTAGGCCAATCGGGTTAGGCCCTACTGCCCCACTCCCTCAATAGGGAAGTCACGCTTTGGGAAGAGGTGTTTAATTTCACAGATCTGACTTGATTGTTGTTGTGATGGCTGAAGGAAGAGGGACGGGGGAGGAAAATTCAGAGGGTGAAGAAGCAGAAAGATAACTTGTTTGTAAAACGGACAGCACGTCAGTTTCAGGAAAGATGACACCGGTTTTATGCATGACATGCCAAATATCCTGAAGCCCTACAAAAAAAAAAGGTACAAGAATATTGTGTTGTAAATATCGCAAAAAGTCGTAATATTGTATAATGTATTAGTTGCATGTTGTATTTTGATAAAAATCACTGTGTAGTTTTTCAAAAATATAATGGAAAAAGGAGAGAAAAACAAATATCACAGTATGTTGAAAAATGTGAAAAAAGTAATGTTGTGTTAAAATAACATGAAAGAAATCAAAGTAAAGCATCTAAAAACATATATTTAAAAAAAAAAAAGTTATGTTAGTCAAGTCAAGTTATCAAAACCGCATTGTTTCATCGAAACAGTGTTAAAATCACAAACTCTCCATTTAGAGTTTGATTCTTTAAGAAACTCATTTCATTACAAATGAATGAATATTTTACCAAGTTATAAAGTTTTGCATCCATTAAAGTGTAACTATAAGTATCTTTGTAGGAGAAAAAACAAAAATAATTTAAGTTATTTCCAGAAAACTGGATTGTCTTACTAAATCCCAAAGTGCCTTTAAGAGTCACAGTCTTAAAGAAAATCTGTTCGTCTTAGTGGGGGTCCTTAGTTTTGGATGATTTGCTGATTGGGGTGGGACTTATTGCGTTGAATGTCTGTATATTCAAAAATATAATGGAAAAAGGAGAGAAAAAACAAATATCACAGTATGTTGAAAAATATGAAAAAAGTAATGTTGTGTTAAAATAACATGAAAGAAATCAAAAGTAAAGCATCTAAAAACATATATTTAAAAAAAGTAATGTTAGTCAAGTAATTCATTACAAATGAATGAATATTTTACCAAGTTATAAAGTTTTCCATACATAAACGTGTATCTTACAGTTCCTTTGTGAGAGAATTACGCACAAATCTGTCATATCAAAACATTCTATTGCAGTATTTTATCTGTTTTATGTGCTCTATATATATATAGATATATATATATATATGTTGCACTGTTGGAGGAGCCTGTGACCTATGTTTTTCATTGACATATCTACACTGTAGCTAATGGGCATATGCCATAAAGCCTTGAAACTTGAAACTTAAAATGATCAGAAACTGCATTGTCTCACTGAAAACAGCTCTAAAGAAAACCCAATTCCTTACAAAGTACTTAACTTTCTACCAGTTGTAAAGTGTTGCTCACTTCAAAAGTGTATCTAAAAAGTATCTTAGTAACAAAAACAAAAGCAAAAAGCATTAATGTTAACAACGCCTAAAAGGGCGGACTCCTGAGTTCCGTAATGTCCCCCTACCATGGCACTTGGACTATTTACATCATCCAGGGCTCAACACCAGTAAATACACCTCTCTTTATCCGCTCTCCAAGCCTCCAAGGGCGGACTCCTGAGTTCCGTAATGTCCCCCTAACATGACACTTAGACTATTTACATCATCTAGGGAAGCACACCAGTAAATGTAGCCTCATGTAACTTCATATAGGGATTCTTTAACAGTTGTGTGAAGTAATTAAACAATAAGGGGGTATTAAGATCTTTAAATTATAATTTTCCTCTCAAAGAGACTTCGTTGTACACACACACACAAAACAACATTAAATAATGACATGATATTATAATGATAAAAGTACTTACCAGAGTTTTTCCAGATCAGATCCAAATCAAGCCTCATTGTCTCCACCCCAGAGTTCCCGTTAGCCGGTAATTACCGGACTATGACCGGTAAAATATGCTGAAGACCGGCAAATCTAAATCTCTCCGGTCAGAATGTCCGGTCAAAATGATATCCCCTTAGCGCAATACCGCATCAGTTGCGCCACTTATGTGACAGACAAGAATAGTATGTGACAGACAAAAGAGTATGTGACAGACAAGAATAGTCAATTATAATGTCTACACATAATGTGGAGAAAGAGATGTCCTGTATGGGTTGATTGCGCGTTGATCTGTTGGTAATGCCTCGGGGTTCCGGTGGGCATGTAAACAAATGCATAATGCTGTGCTATACTTTGTGGCCTCACCCCGTTGCATAGCGACGCTTATTGTTTAGGTGTCTTTTAATAAGCAGGTAGTCATATCATTAGCTAGAACTAGCTAGATCTGATCGATATGGACATAAACGCGAGTAAAGTCTAATCTGACGGGAGAGAGAGATCAGCTGCTGCTGACGAGTCGACACGCATCTCTGCATGATCCCCTGCAGCGGTGAGCGGAACAAAACACACACTTCAGGTTAGAATATCACACGTAGCTATTTTAATTACCTCTCAAACTACCTAAACTAGTTATAGGTATGTTTAGTTTTACTGTCGGGTCACTCATTACTGGATCCGCGAGCTGCATGATACTGGCGTGTTGTCAGGAGAGGGGGAGAGCGCTCCGTTTATTATTCCCGTGTTATTGTAAATTACTGTACACGTTTGAATAGTTAATTAATCTACTATAATTAGTTTGTTTAATATCGAATCATATCAATTTGTTTCAAAGCTCAATAAATAACATAGAAGACCTTTGACCGGCACTTTTCTAATTTTGTCCGGAAGATTTAAACTGTAACGGACATGTTGACCGGACAGGAGGGGGGAGAAGGAGGGGGGGTGTGGAGGGGGGAGGGGGGCAGCGCTAGACAGGGGGGATATCGCACCTGTACGTGATAAGGATATAACAGGCAGGTGTGATATCGCACCGGCATGTTATAACACCTCGAACAAAGGAGGTCATTAGCATAAGTAGTAGTAGGTGTGACCTGTCACTTTTTATGCATACTAATGTGATGGAAGCGGGATCATTATTACTACTCACATGGTCTGAGATTATATTACGGTCAAAGCTGCCCATATAGAGGGTGACTAGGTATGCCGATGTGATACAAATAAAATCCCTATATTGCAATTATCACAAAATGATGCTAATGCAGCACACTCAACCACTATTTTAGGATGAATACATTCAGTGTGATGTACTAAATGAAGCTGTTTGAATCCATTTAAAGAAGAAGCGAGGGGAGCGATCTGCGAGCTGTGGGGCTGCACTTGAACTGTTCAAATGTAGGCACTAATGGATGTGCGCTTTACAGGTGTCCTTCAGATCTCATTATCCAGAGACAGTTTAGGGCCTCAATTTCATAATCCTTAACCCATTTGTGTCCAAAGACTGTATTCAGTATGTTAAAGACTAATGCCACAACTTTTATTCAGATTGCTCTCTAGTCTTGAACCTGGTCCAGATGTGTGGTGGGCAAGTCTAACAACAACTTGAAAAATCGAACTTCTGGAAAAAGAATAGTAAACTGCCAGATTTCTGACATATTATGTTGCATTTTGGGAGATGCAACCCTAGTTTATACAGTATGTTTGGGACTTAAAAGATTATTTGATTCAACATGACAAAGTTACAAATCTTCCATTATTATACATCCTTAGCATCATATCCTACCATAAATGCCCTTGAGCAAGGCACCGGACACCCCCCTTCCCCCCACACTCCCATTGCTCCCCGGGCGCTGTACAATAGCTGCCCACTGCTCCTAGTACTAGACTCCTGGTACTAGGATGGGTTAAATGCAGAGGCCAACTTTCACTGTGTGTGCTGTGTGCTCTGCACGTGAGACCATTAAAGAGGGTTTCATCCCTCCCAATTCTATTCTATTCTAAATATAAAAAAGCATATGAAATGTCCCAAATAAAAAAATCCACACATTTATTTTCAATGTCAGGATTTTTTAATATTTGCTAACATTGTGTTCATAAATGATCTGCCAAAAGAAAATTACTTTTACACTGCATATGATCGCATATTTTCTTATTCACTTGTTGAGTGTATAGATACCAAACACCATACTTAGCTCCTGGTAGTTTCAGAGAGCCATTTCCCTGCACTATATTCAATCTTGGGGCACATGGTGTTAGTACTGTTCTTTCCTGAAACTCAAGATTTCACTTTCAGGCACAAATGGTTTAGTTGATAAAAGACTGCTTGTAACTTGTTTCCTGTAACAATAAAGCACTTTGATAAACGACAGGTCAGACAGCCTTGCACATCGCCATAGAGAGAAGGAGCTTTGACCATGTGACTCTGCTGGTGCAGAAAGGAGCAGATGTGCAAGCCAAAGCCAACGGGAAGTTCTTCCAGCGTCATGCAGGACTGGGCTTTTATTTTGGTGGGTAAATGCGTACCAAAAACATCCAGATGCTGCATTTCCTCTCTCCAGCTGTTTGTGGGGGGTTTTCATTGATCTGAGCTATGTTCCAACAGGAGAGCTCCCCCTCTCCCTGGCCGCCTGCACCAACCAGCCCAGCACCGTGTCCTTCCTCATGGAGAACTCCTGCAGAAGAGCCGACTCCACCGACAGAGACTCGAAAGGAAACACCGTCTTACACGCCTTGGCAGTCATAGCAGACAACACGACAGAAAATACAGAAATGATTGCCAAGATGTATGACCAGATCCTTACTCAGCAAAACAAGCTTGAGAAGAAAGTCCAGTTGGAAACGATAGAAAACAATCAGGGACTGACCCCCCTGAAGTTAGCAGCTAAACTTGGAAAAATCGGGGTAGGTCCCTCCTGAAGGTGTCCCTGTGTGTTATCATATACACCTCAATGGTTATCTTCCTTATAACAGGGGTGTCCAAACTACGGCCTGGGGGCCAACTGCGGCCTGTGATCCATTTTGAAATGGCCCACATCTAATTCTAAAAGTATAATGGAATATGGCGCACACATACTAGTGCTTGCCTTATATATATATCGTACTTCTTAAATATATATCTAAAAATACTGTATATTACACATTATTAATTGTTGTTGTCATGTCAGTGTAAACAATATAAATTCAGTAAAATAAATTCAGTCAATTCAAGTTGAAAACCTTTTCTAACAAATTTTAGCTGATAAAAAAAGCCCAATAACTTATTTGCATAACGCGTTAGAAATAAACCCTTTTTATTTCCCCTATGTAACCCTAATGGAGAGCTGTGATGAAGGCTGTTTTCTTTCTTGAAGCATATTCAATTATCAAGAATAATGTACCTAGATTTGATGAATTTTGCTAACTTGTAGGCAATATACCTCACCTCTAGTGAGGGGCCCAGCTCTTTGTTTAATTTTCTGTATGTGGCCCTCAGTGAAATATGTTTGGACACCTCTGCTTTATAACGTATACCTGATCATGGAAAACCTACCACATGCGTACAAGGCAGACAAAATAACAATATCTTTCTGGTATCTCATTGGCCAGCTGTTCAGGCACCTGTTACAGCGGGAGTTTGAGGGAGAGGAGATGAGGCCGCTCTCCAGGAAGTTCACTGAATGGGTCTATGGTCCAGTGCACTCCTCTCTGTACGACATGAGCTCCATCGACACCAACGAACACAACTCTGTGCTGGAGCTGATCGTCTTTGGGAGTGAAATACCGGTGAGAAATATGAATTTACCTCATTTAAATCATTATAATTTACCAGAATGATATTGTATCTAGTGCAGCTTGCACGGGCAACATATGTAGGGTACAATAAAACCAAAAGCTCCAAAATAATTGTATGGCATTTGAGACACATTAACTTCACAACATTCCTCTTCTTCAGATCATCATTTACAGGATTAGGTCACAATAAATTGAATACATGATGCAACGTTTATCAATGATAAAATATCAATAATAACTAGAGAATGCAATTCCTGCAGAAATTGCTAGTGGGAATGCTTTATGCTGAAAAGCTGACGCTAAACTGCTATGCTGAAATGTAATGTGTAAGAAGAAAGTGAAGAATTTAGATTGAAATGATACATGAACACTGGGGGCTTGACTGTGTGATGAGAGAAGAAAATAAAGTAAAAAGGCTTGGAAAAGCAGCAGAATATTTACGGCGAGGGATGCGTTGCCATGGCAACAGCTTTTGAGGAAAACTCACTAATGGCACATAGACATGTTGAAGGCTGGACCATTAACCATTATCTGAAGTCTGCTGCTCTGAGCATGTCAGTTGGAGTTATGACATCATCGTGTTCCATGACACAGGTGTTTATATTTGAGCTAACGACGTGTCCAGAGATCAAAGGTTTCCATGGTGATGTGCAGTAATCAGTGAGAGGAGAGCCTTTTCATTGTTCTGAATGAGAGATAAACCTCTTACATGTGAACGTTTTGTTGAAGAACCGTAACAGATATCGGTGAAATTTCAACGCGTGAAGCATGTCAAGGAACTTGAGCATCTGAAGTGTGCTTTTTGTGTACTTTCGGGTTAATAATGTGGCCTTTTTGGCAGATTAACTAAAGGTGTGCGGCTGCTGCTGTGAGTAAAGATCAGCTTGAATTTACAATTGGCTTTGATGGAGACATGTTGAAAGTTTTTGTCACTTCATGCCCTCAAGAGGCATTTTGTTTAATTATTTTGCTTAATTTTTTTTTATCTTTCAAGCTACGAGATGTTTTCCTACGTTTGTCATGAAAAATTATGTCTCAGGAATGTAGGGTTTGGGAATTATGGCAGGTTTAAAAGAAAATATGAAGGCAAAATTAAATCTGTCCTCCACCCTAGCTGTGACATCACGCACTCTAAAATCTGAAGAAGGCCTCTTTACCAAGGTCTAAACAATGTTTAATATCTCTAAAAGTAAGAATCAGATTTAAAAGTTGTGTTACACGAATAATGTCAGAAAGATGTGTAACATTTTAAAGTTGGAATGAGGTTTCTGAGTGAAAGTATGAAGGAGCAGTTAGCAGTTGAAGAAGGAGCAGTTAGCAGTTGAAGTTGCATGAAGATTGTTGAAGTCTGAAGAGTTTGTCGATTGACTTCCATGTTAAAAATGTGATGAATTATGGGATGTATCTCTGGAATTATGAAAGTTATGAATAATAAAAGTAATAGCCATCGATTCCCGACCGAGCTGAACGTTTTGATGTTTGAACGGAGTTTCTGCGATGTTCAATGTGGGAGAAGAAGCAGCGCAAAATAACCCGGCGGAATAATAAAGAATTTTGTACGTAGCATAACATATAGTTGGAATGCTGTGTCAGCATTCCCACTAAATAACATAAATTTTATTGATCCCAGTTTGGGATTTTTTTTTAATGTGGTTAAAAAAATAATATTATTGGATTTCTTTTATTTGGGAGATTCTTTATGTTTTTCTATATGTATGGAAATTATCCTAAGGATGTATGATCATGGAAGATTTATGTCAGAAACAAGACAGTTGTCATGGTGAATCAGATAATCAGCCCCAACAACATGCTGTGTAAACTACTGACAGTTTATTATTCATTTCTTGGAATGATGTGTTTCTGCAAACCAGCCAACATCATTGTAGGAGCCATGAAACGTATGCGTTTTGTTTTAGTATAATATATTTGTTTGATCACTATTGATTGGTTGGCTTGGGTCACATGGATATGGGCGGCACTCATTATAATCCTGTTCACCTGCGTGAGGTGTGTGTGTGTGGAAGAGAGGGTGACACAGGGCCGTTGTACTTTTTGTTGAACGCAAGATTTATGATTGCTTTGATTATTATAACAATGTCTATGTCTGATCACCAAGTTTATTTTCATTAAACTACAATACTATTCAACAGAGCTTCTGATCTCAGCAAGTATTTTTTTTTAGCATGTCATACAACATCAAACAGGCCCGGCCTCAGCCTCTCAGCGACTTTTTGTTTCCTGCTGACGCTATAATCATCCTCCCGTGGCTCTGATGACGGCTTTTGTACTGTTGTTCTGCCAGGATAACTAAAGGACTTTTAATGTGAAATGATGCTGTGAACATTCCCTCAGAATCGTCCGGAGATGTTGCAGATCGAGCCTCTGCGCAGTCTTCTCGAGTATAAGTGGGACAGGTTTGCTTCCAAACTGTTCTTGATTAATTTCTTGGCGTACCTGATATACCTCACCATCTTCACCACTGTGGCTGTCTACAGAAAGGAAGGACAGGTAAGGCCAAAAACACACTGAATAAAAGCCTCAACTCAACCCATGTTGGAACACCTTCATCAGCCCTAAGCAAAGATCCTGACGTTCTGTCCTACAGCCCCCGTTTCCCGTTGGAGCCGACCTGCTGGACATCCTGCGCAGCGTCGGAGAGATCCTCAGTGTCCTCGGAGCAGGCTGGTTCTTCTATAAGTCGGTGAGGTGGTGGAGCCTGATTACCCAAAAAATAGTCAACATTTAATTCAATCTATTTCAAATGACTAACTCCTCAATCCACAGATAACTATTTTCAAGAGGAACCCCCCCACCTTCAAGGCTCTCTACACAGATGGGTTCTGTGACATCCTGTTGTAAGTTACCACATAACACTGCTTTCACTCCACGCTGCTCAGGTGGGAAGTAACTAAGTAGCCTACATTTACATCTTAGTACTGTACATAAGTACTATTTTGTCATACTTGTACTTTACTTGAGTATTTCCATTTAATGCTATTTTATACTTTTACTCCGTTACATTTTGGAACATCTATTGTACTTTTTCCTACAAATGTGTTAACACTAATAGTTACCAGCCACTGTTAACATATAAAACACATGACATTTTCATATGATATAATGCAGTACCAATATATTACTAAACTAAAATGGTCTTATTAACAAACTACAACATTTAAATGTTCTTAGATGTATTTGTAAGCAATTTAAAGGAATCATTTAATATTGCCTAATAATGTAATACTTTTATAACAGCCATGGTGCATAATGGATACTTTAAAGGGGACCGATCATGCAAAATGCACTTTTGTACGTCTTTTATACATGAATATGTGTCCCCGGTGTTCCAGGGAACTCACCAAGTGTCAGAAAACACAACCCTCTCTATTTTCCTCCATACCCAAATCTCTAAAAAAGGGGCTGCAACGGATCTGATAAAAACTGATCCAGATTTGAACACTGTCCTGACGTCAGGACGGTGGCGCTACGGCTATTGGGCCAACTCTCCACCTATCAGGGGAATGTGGGGTTGGGCCACGGCCGGCCATTGCCGCTCGAAAGCGCTGGAGACGCTGTAGTACATATGCCAGGCCTGTAAGTGGCACTGTAGTCTGCCACAAAAGCAGCGAAGAAGACTTCCCGCCCATAGTTACCATGGTTACCCTTCTGTTTATTCTCCGCTGTGGCTCTTTTTCTCCCTCCCCGAGGCAAGCGTTTGCTCCTGCTGCTTTAATTCAATGCAATCCCTCCCCGTCGAGGCAAGCACTGTAATTCTCTCCGGTTAGTCCACCAGCAGATGACAAACACCCACCTCTCCGCGTCTTCCAAGGAACGAGGGGACCGTGCGGCAGAGTTTCAGTTTCAGTTTCTTTCGCCGGTCAAGATGTCCGTTAAAGTTTAAATCTTCCGGACAAAATTAGAAAAGTGCCGGTCAAAGGTCTTCTTTGTTATTTATTGAGCTTTAAAACAAATGAATAACGACTCTATAGAATAAAACACGGAGGACGGAGATCTCTTTTTCTCCCCCTCTTCTGACAGCCCAGCAGCTGATCAGAGCACGTCTCCCCTCTCCTGCAGGGGGGCGTGGTCAGCAGAATCAGACCCGTAGACAGCAAACAGCACATAGAGCGAAATGAGGCATGGCTAAAATGCATGATTTGTTTGGTATTTTGAAAACAGAAATGTATAAATATACCTTATATAGGTATGGCCCTACAATATATCATTTAAATATAGCATGATAGGTCCACTTTAAGTACATTAAGCTGGCTATACTTACATACTTTTGAATCGAGGAGTTTCTCTTGTAATGAAGTATTTCTACTTTACTTAAGTACCTCCTCCTCCTCCCCCTCCCTCCCTCCCTCCCTCCCTGTGGTGCAGCTTCCTGCAGGCGACCCTCCTCCTGCTCTGCCCCGCTCTCTACCTCAGTGGGCGGAGGGAGTACGTTGGTCTGCTGGTGCTCTCTCTGGCTCTGGCCTGGATCAACGTCCTGTACTACTCAAGAGGCTCCAAACAGATGGGGATGTACAGTGTCATGATACAAAGAGTGAGGATTCAGTTTGAGTTAGCACTCGGAGTGGGTTGGCTTGTAAGGATTGGTTGACTGATTTAAGTCTGTTTCTCTCTTTAGATGATCCTGGGTGACCTGCTGCACTTTCTATGTGTCTATAGTGTCATGCTTTTTGGATTTTCTGCTGGTAAGACTTTCATGAATCTAAATGGAATAAGTTAAGCACATTCAGAATGAGTACTTAAGACAGGGGTGTCCAAACTTTTTTCACTGAGGGCCACAAACAGAAAACATACGAATGGTCCCCCTCGAGAGGTGAGGTATATTGCCTCATAAGTTAAGTTATAAGTTAGCAAAAATCAATCAAATGTAGGTACATTATTCTTCACAACTCTCCAGAGGGTTTAATTAATTTTGTTAAAAAAAAGTGTTGGCAGCTAATTCCTTAAAACAGAAGTCTCAGAGTGTTTACAATAAGGGACAATAGGAAGGGTATGTTTCAAACTTGTTATGCAAATAAGTTATTGGGCTTTTTTTTTTATCTACAAAAGTTGAACACATGAATACTCTGTAACATATGTTTAACTATATATTTAAGAAGTACAGTATAAGACAAGCACAAGTTTCAGGTGTATAGGGCATATCCCATTATACTTTCAGAATTTGATGCATGCCAATTAAAAATGGACCACAGGCCGCAGTTGGCCCACGGGCCGAGCTTGGACACCCCTGATTTAAAATGTTTTCTAAACTTCTGACTTAATTTTCCCTTTATCCTTAGCTATTGTTGCTCTCATGGACGACTCCCCTCCAGCTCATAAAAACAACCCCAACACGGCGGCTCATGGGAGGGGCTTCGGTGTGGAGCCGTTCAAGTGCGAGAAGCCGAGTTACAATGACATCAGTTTCACTACTCTGGAACTGTTCAAGTTCACGATTGGGATGGGAGACCTGGAGTTCACCGACCTCGTTCAATACAAGGAGGTGTTCTACATGTTGCTCATCCTGTACATCATCCTCACCTACATCCTGCTGCTCAACATGCTCATCGCTCTGATGGGCAACACAGTGGAAAGAATCTCAGAAGAAAGTGAAAACATCTGGAACCTGCAGGTGGGAAGCTGTTCTGGAAACTGGTTTTAGATTATGCAAAACCGTACGTTCTCAAGATTAAGGCCCCGGCCCCACGGGAACGCATACGGCAAAACGCATAGGATAGCAAACGCAATCGCCAAAAAGCTTCCGTCCACACGCAATATACACCGGATAGTGTCTGCCCACACGAGACAGCTCCGTTTAGATCCAACTGCTGGAAAAGCTGCAGTACATATGCCGAGCCTGTACGTGGCGCTGTAACTTCCTCCACAAAAGCAGCAACTTCCTCCACAAAAGCAGCGAAGAAGAATGGTTGTCATGGCTGCACTTCTGTTTATTCTCCGCGGTGGGGGCCGAGGGATCCGGGCAGAGTTTTTCGCCGGTCAACGTGTGCTAAAGTTTAAATCTTCCGGACAAAATTATAAAAGTGCCGGTCAAAGGTCTTCTTTGTTATTTATTGAGCTTTAAAACAAATGAATAACGACGATATAATGATATATAATAATAAAATACACGGAGGCTGTCTCTTTTTCCTCTCTTCTCACAGCGTCAGTGTCTGTCTCATGCAGCAGCTGATCCAGTAATGATGACTCGACAGTAAAAATAAACATATTTATAACTAGTTTAGGTAGTTTGAGAGGTAATTAAAATAGCTAAGGGTGATGATCTGACTTGAAGTGTGTGTTTTGCTCCCGCTGCATCACAGCGGGAGGAGCTGCGTGTCTCCGTCCTGTCAGATTAGACTTCACTCGCGTTTATGTCCATATCGAGATAAAGATAAATAATCTGAATTCAGTGTGCAGTGTACTTTTGCGGGGGTGAGCAGCAGAGGTGGGGAGAGGCGGGGCTATTGCGTCGTCATTATCAGAGACGGATGACCGTATAGGCTACCACACGGCCCCGTTGGACCCCCCAGAGCGCTCCGTTCCCAGATCTATCCACCTTTGGACCCGTTGTCGTTTGAAGGGTCCGTTTCTATCGTTCCGTTACGGCGTCGTGTAGCTTAAAAGGCTATACGCAAGAGAAATATGCGGATACAACCCGTTTTCGTTCCCGTGGGGCCGGGGCCTAAGTTGATGTTACAAATTCAGAGTAATGCTTAAGGAGGTTTGTGAATGCTGAAAGTTAATCAAAAGGAGTGAATATAATAGTAATTACAGTGAATATCTCTAGTGAAGAGCATTGGAATAAGACTTTTCTAGATTGTGTACAAACAAATGAAAGCATGAAAAACAAATGATTTGATACATTTCATGTAAACCGCTGACATTTGACAGAGAGCTTTCACAATTTTGGACATGGAGAGGACTCTGCCGAGGTGCCTGAGGGAGAAGCTGCTCTGCGGGGTGTCCAAGGTGGTGTGCTTGAAAGGCTCGCGGGACGAGAGTCGCAGATTCTTCAGGTACACTGTCACTGGATGTGTCTGACATCAGGTCCTGTTGTGATTCTGCACAGCTAGATGTAGAAACATGAAGAATCCTTTAGCTTGATACAAACATGTCGTGTAAGAATTACTGTATGAGAAATGTCCTATGTATTTGTGTCCAACAACAGCACATTTTACTGAACACATCTTTAAAGGCTCACCCTAATACATTGAGGAGGGAGAAGTACTCACATCTTGTACTTAAGTAAAAGTATGACTAACAGAGTGTAGTCCTGCATTCAAAATGTTACTCAAGTAAAAGTAGAAAAGTATTAGCATCACAATCTACTTAAAGTACCAAAAGTAAAAGTAGTCGCTGTGCAGATTGGTCCATTTCAGAATAATATGATATGTTTTATAATTGTGGCAGTGGCCGCAGAGGGGAGGATAGGTGAATGTATTTGTTAAAGTTGGTTTGATTACACCATTCACAATTCCGACAACGCCACCTTGGGAGTTTCACCCAAGGAAATATTAACACTTTTTCAGTTATAGAGAGGACACATAGGTTCGAATACTAATGGAGCAGGAGATGTGGTTTCAATTTATCAAAAATATACAATTTTATTTAGCACAAGTCAATAGTTTAAAATGCAGTTCAAAACAGTCGCACAGGGCTGTAGCACAAAGGGAAAAAATGAATTAGGGGCTGAGACTTACCAGTGGGGGGATAGGGTCGACGAGTGAGTGGAAGGATCCCCAAACAAACCAAACTTAAATCACCCCAGTCATACGTGCAGGAAATCAAATCCTGGGGGAGCACATCACACACAAAAGAAGAGAGGAAGACCACCACCTTGGACACCAGCACCACCACCTTCAGCTCTCAGTAACTAAGCAGGGAAACTAAGAGGGAAACGCAGTTAATGGGGGCTAAATACATAAATCAAAGTAATAAACAAACACAATATCAAATATGTTCTCATAAACAGATAACAACTTGTGTAAACATTTAAGAATAAAACAAATCACAAGAGAAAAGGTTCAGTTAAACAAAATAAACAATTAACTAGAATAAAATAAACAAACTAATTTAAATCAAGTTGGCAAAAGTAAGGACAAGTTATAGGGGGAGTTAGCCCCAGAGTTCAATGACTTCCACACTTCGAGTGTCGGCCCAAGCAAGGCAGCAGGAAGGCGTGCAGTTAAAGCAGCACTTTAACTAGTGAGCGAGCCTCCGCAGTAGGCGACGCAAAGCTGGCCAGAAGCAGCAATCAGAAGCAGCAATGTGGTAGCAGTAGCCCAAACATTTAGGCAGGATCAACAGCAGTTGTGACGTTACTGCCGATAAACACACTTTCTCCGGTGAAGCAAAACAGCAGATGTCCCTTAATCATTGGATTGGCCCTAGGTATATGAATAAATACAAATACAGCGTTAATATCAATAAAAGTAATGAGGTGGATTGACTAAATAGATCGCCGTACAGCGCACATACCGATCAGGTTTTCCTATCGATGACGCAGAGAGGGGAGAGCTTCATGCTTTTTATGGCTGCGTTGACAGGCTGCACCCGGAGGATCCTCCACTAGGTGAGGCAAAGCAGGGCTAAGTATCAATACGCTGGCAAATTGCAGAACCTTTCCTGAAGCGAGCAATGCAACTGCAACATACCTGCACCGGTGGCGGAAGCAAACACGGCAAACACGCAAGTGGGGCGGGTCTGTGTACCAACAAACAAGAGACAGCCAGCTAGAAACCTCTGCCCTTTTATAGGGTGCCCCCTGGTGGTGATATGCTCACAAGAGCCAAACGAGGAGAATATGCTTTTCATTTTCATTTCATTTCAAACCTTTATTTAACCAGATTGGTCCCATTGAGATCATAGATCTCTTTTTCAAGGGAGACCTGCAGCATATAGGTTCCACATGAAACATAAAACAATAAAGGACATCATACATTATATTTACAGGATACATTTACATAGTTATAGACATTTACAAGTACCCATAGTATCAACGAGCATTTCATTTAGCCTAGCTTTAAAAACATGCAGAGGAATGAGATTGCTCAGTTTCAATTCTTGCTGAAGATTGTTCCAAGCAAGTGGAGGTGCGCACATAAAAGCTGTCTTACCTAAGACAGTCCTTGCTCTTGGCACATCTAACAATACTACATCATGCGATCTCAGACAATAGCTGCTTGCAACTCTCTGTGTTATCAGAGAGCAGATATAATACGGGAGTTTACCCAACAAAGCTTTATAAATAAACGTGTACCAATGACTGAGCCTCCGTACAGTAAGTGATGGCAAACCTGCCTTGGCATACAGGGTACAGTGATGTGTAAGTGCTTTACAATTTGTGACAAAACTCAGTGCGCTGTGATAGGCGGCATCTAACTTGTTCAGGCAATGGGCAGGTGCATTCCTATACAACAAATCACCATAGTCCAGCACAGGTAAAAAGGTCACAGTGACTAGCCTTTTCCTGGCCTCAAGCGAGAAACAGGACTTGTTTCTGAAAAAGAAACCTAGGCTAACCCTCAGCTTTTTAAGCAGGTTATTGACATGAAGTAAGACAATCATCAAGCCAGATACCAAGGTATTTATAACAGGCAACCACTTCTAGTACTTGTCCTTGCATAGTAACAATATCTAAAACAGGCTCTGGAGTATTTTTAGCTTTAGAAGAAAGCATTAACTTGGTTTTCTCAACATTTAAAAGAAGCTTAAGTTCAGAGAGCTGAGCCTGAATAATATTAAAAACAGCCAGTAATTTAACACCAGCCTCCTTAATGGAGGGACCTGCACAATACATCACGGTATCATCCGCATAAAAATGTAAAGTAGCTTCATCCACATTTTCACCTAAACTGTTGATATATATGGAGAATAAAAGTGGACCTAAAACAGAACCTTGAGGAACACCATTAGCAATGTTCAACAACCACTCAGAAGTGAGCCCATCAAAGTGAACACATTGGGACCTTTCAGAGAGGTAGTTCACAAACCACCCCACTGCATGGCTGGATATGCCAATACTGAGTAGCCTCTGCTTTAAGATGCGATGATCGACGGTATCGAACGCTTTGGAAAGGTCAATAAATAGAGCTGCACAACTCTGCTTTTTATCTAAAATACTCGTAATGTCATTCACCACTTTCATTGTCGCAGTGATGGTGCTATGTTGCTTTCTGAATCCTGACTGATGTTTAGACAGGATGTCATTGTTACATAAAAACTCCTTTACTTGTTCACTCACTAGGCGTTCGAGCATCTTCGCCTGAACTGACAATTTAGAGATTGGCCTATAGTTATTTAAAATAGTTGCCTCCCCTCCTTTTAGCAAAGGCAAGACATAAGCTGACTTCCATACTTTTGGAATTGCATTTGTGCTGAGGGAGAGGTTAAAAAGAGTAGTGAGAGGTAGCTTTACAAGGGATTAGGACTCTCATCCTGCTACAATCTACCCCCCCTATTTGTATCGTCGGCCCGACGATGAACGAATCCAAGCCAATGTTAGCCAACCTAGTTCCAAGGTCTAAAGATAACCGACACAGAGTTAGACACGGGACCAGGAGAGTTTTCGGCCACAGGCGCCAATTCTCCCAATGCTCTCGGGAGATGATGGACATTAGGATGCTGCCCAGCGGTTGACCGTGCTGTCCGTCGCAATGTCACTGCGCTAGAATCAGGGCATGTGGCTGGAGGGATAGCCAAGCGGGAGGAAGGCAATTCTGGCATGGCAGCGAGAGCTACCGAAGGGCCAGTCTCAATGGAGGCTTCGTCAGACAGCAACCAAGGGGTTTCTTGGGTCACCACAGCTGATCTGGTAGAAGGAGGATTCGGAGCTTCATTTCTTGAAACCCATAGGTCACCATCAGAGGAAAGCTCACCATCTGACTGTGGTGAGTCAGAAGGAATTGAGAGAGGGACAGGGACATCATCTGGAGAGTGTGTTCCAACCACAGCTTTCAACAGAGTGGGGTGGACCCGTTTGGTTTTGGTCAGGTTGTTTGCCGGTGCAATCGTGTACACCGAACCGCCTTTTGGTGCTTTCACCACTATATACCTGACAGAACTCCAAATATCCCTGATCTTATGGCGCCCTCTTGCACCACAATCTCGCAACCAAACTAACTGGCCCTCGTTCAATGGGACATCTTTGACATACTGGTCATGGCACCTCTTTCTGCGCTCTGCTGCAGTTTTTAACCTCTCTTGAGCTCCTTCAAAGGCAATTTGCAATTTTGCCTGATGCTCCTGAATCCACTCATGGACAGGACCACCGACTGGATCAGGGACTCTACCCAACAGAAAATCAACTGGGAGCCTTGGCTCTTGTCCAAACATCAACAAGAATGGAGATTCACCAGTTGACTGATGGGGAGTAGTGTTGTAAGAATACAGTAGTTGTGGCAAGCAGGAGTTCCAATCCCGTTTCCGAGACACAGGCAGAGTACGCAGCAAGTTGTGAAGGGTTCGGTTGAACCGTTCACATTGACCATTGCCCGCCGGATGGTAGGGAGTAGTGCGAGATTTTTCGATGTTATAGAGGCTGCAAAGTTATTGGATAAGAATGCTCTCAAAGTTTCGGCCCTGGTCCGAATGTATACGGGCTGGGACACCAAACTTTGAAAACCATTCTGTGACCAGAACTTGAGCCACAGTAGAGGCTCGTTGGTCACGGGTGGCAAAGGCCAAAGTGTACTTGCTAAAAATGTCTGTAATTACAAGGACATTTTCCAACCTACTATAGGTGGGTTCCAAGACAGTAAAGTCAATCGCTAGAATTTCATTGGGTCTAGAAGCCAGCAAGTGTCCCATGGGAGCACGAGCCGCTGGTCGAGTGTCCTTGGCAATTTGACACCTCTCACAATTGCTGCACCAATATACCACCTCGGAGGACATACCTGGCCAGTAACACCGCTGCCTAAGTAGCTCCAAGGTTCTTTCAATACCTTGGTGGCCATGCCTCTGGTGGACTTCGGTGAGCACCTGCTCTCTCAAAGCAGCTGGCAAAAGCAGCTGCAGA